AGAAAAAGCTACTTGAAAGAAACAACCTATTACACCATAGTTTATAGTGGTGAAATATTAGAAAAACCCCAGATAACCAGCAACTGGGCTAAGTAAATTGTGGTATATCCTTTGCTAAGATATTGTGTAGCTGTTAAGAATAGTGATTTTAAAAGGCCATGTAACAATGTGGAAAATGCTTCTGACAATGTTGAAAGAGCAGAAATAGACGAGACAATTCTATGTGCAGACACAATTGCAACCATGTTAAAAATACATATGAAATAAAATTGGTGTTAAAAAGATCAAAATAGAATAATTTTGTTCATGTTAGTGATGATTTTCATTCTCATTTTTTAATATTTCTGGACTGTGATTATTACCTTATAACTAAATAAAATTAGAAAATTCTGTCATAGTTGAGATTTTTCATTGTTTCTTGAGAGGTTAGAACAGGCTGTTATTTCTTTGCAAATAGGTGGAAAGGGGGAGAGTGACTGCACTTCACAAGAATTTTGTTTTTTTTTTTTTATTGCGCTTTAGGTGAAAGTTTACAAAGGAAGTTAGTTTCTCATTCAAAAATTTATACACGTATTGTTCCGTGTCATCAGTTGCAGTCCCACATTGTGTCAGCACTGTCCTCTTTTTCCTTTCCACCCTGGGTGCCCTAGTTCCATTCATCCAGTTTTCTTGTCTCTTCCCACCTTCTTGTCTTTGTTTTTGGGCAGACGTAGCCCATCTGATCTCATATACTTGATTGATCTAAGAAGCATGTTCCTCAAGTGTGTTATTGTTTGTTCTGTAGGCCTGCCTAATCTTTGGCTGAAACGTGAACTTCGGGAGTGGCTTAAATTCTGAGTTAGAAGGGTGTCTGGGGACCGTAGTCTCAGGGGTTCCTCCAGTCGCTGTCAGACCAGTAAGTCTGATCTTTTTTTTTTGTGAAGTTGATCATTTGTTCTACATTTCTCTCCCACACTATTCAGAACTCTGTTCTAATCCCAGTAAGAGTGGTCAGTAGTGGTATCCAGGCACCATCTAGTTCTTCTGGTCTCAGGATCGTGGAGGATGTGGTTCATGTAGTCCATTAGTCCTTTGGTCTAATTGCTCCCTTGAGTCTTTTAGTTTTTTTTCACTCTCCTTTGTTCCAGACTAGAAGAGATCAATAATTGTATCTCAGATGGCCATTCGCAAGCTTTTAAGACCCCAGTTGCTATTCACCAAAGTAGAATGTAGAACATTATCTTTAACAACTATGTTGTGCCAATTGATGTAGATGTCTCCTGAGTCTGTGGTCCTTTGCTTTTGAGCCTGAGAACTCCATCCCATGAGGTGTTCAGTTACGTCTAAGAGATTTCCTTGACTGTACCCCTTTTGAGCTGTATTGTGTATATTAATATATGAGAAGCACCTACTGTTATGTATTTAGCAGTTTCCTTCACCGAACCTGTATCTGCTGGTGGGTGTGCTCCCTTATCCCCTCCTGTCTTAGTCATCTAGTGCTGTTCTAACAGAAATACCACAAGTGGATGGCTTTTACAAAGAGAAATTTATTTTCTCCCAGTCTAGTAGGCTGGATGTTCAAATTCAGGG